CTGGCTGGGTGGATTTGTACTATCTCTGCTAGATGTTTTAAAATCATAAAACTGTAGCTCTGTGATATGAGCTTATGCTTTTAGATTTTTTTTTTCATGTCAGATGGGTAATGTGCACTTGGATGGGGCAAAGGCAATATATGTAACCTAAACATTTGTACCCTCGTACTATGCTGAAATAAAAAATAAAAATAAATAAAAGAAAGAATTAAATACCATTAAAAATTCTATCTGTCAATAGCCAGATGACATTAAGACGGATCCTTTAAATTAGATTCCTCAGTTTAGAAATATATATATTTTAGAGATTTCTTATTCTAAACAATTGCCTTCTTTGTATTTATGGGAAGACCAAATTTAAAAAGATGCATAACGGTGTCATGGCTAGCCTTAAAAATTCTCTTGACAAAGTTAAAGAGCAAAACTCTGACCAAAATCAAAGATAAAATCCTTTGTATACTGCCCCTGTGGGGACACTAGCAAAGGCCAGTCCACCTGTGGCCTAGTGGTTAAGATTCTGTCCTTTTGCTGTTGGGGCATGGGTTTGATTCCGGCCAGGGAACTGGCCCCTGGTGGCTTGATATTTATGTGACTTTGGACGTGAGGTGCTCATTTATTATTGATCCTTTTCTCTTCCTCAGACAGCCTTTCATTTCCTGTTTTCTTCCATCTCTGAGGGGGCACGTGAGGCTTTTGGGCCTCTGTATGTAGACGGTCAGCTGAAAAGCTGAGACCCTAGAAACATAAAAACTGTGACTAGACAAAAATGTGGGTTATATCTCGTTTGTGGCTAGCAAAACTTTCCTTTCTTAGCGCTGTCTCTGGGGCAGTTCTGGATCCTGAAAAAACTGCTTTCCACCGCTTTGGAGACTGCTCATGTGTCTGTTGCTCCATAAATTAATATAACTGTATTAGAGACATAAATGGTGCCAGGAGTTTTGCACAGCTTTGCCCTGAAGGAATATGTGAACATGTTAGTTTGCACATCGAAAGCTGTTTCATCTCAGGAGGGCATCTCAAAGATCAGTAGTGGCTGTTTCCCAGGATGGCGCTGCCAGAAGTCTCAGACCTGTGGTTCTGACTTGCTTTGAAAGGCAAAGCCGGTCTGCTAGGAGCCAGCAGGATGAGAGCTGATCAAAGAGTGCCCGCCTGACAGACAGACACCTGTGGCTAAAAGCAATTGGCCCAAGGGATAGTTCCTGCTTAAACTCCTGACTACCTGTCTCAATACACAATAACTTGATAAAGGAAATATGGAGCCACTATATCTCTGTTTAACCCCTCTGTTAAGTGATAAATTTACCTTAGAACTTAGAAGTTAGTCTTTGAAATATTTTGTAACCATTTGTTCACATAGAAAGAGTTAGTTAAGGGATCTGAAGAAGGCTTTTGAAAAACTTTTAACCGAAGAGGAACTACCTGTTGTTATGTAAATCCGTTACCCCTGGCAACCGATCACTGTACCTATATGCCCATGTAAAACTTCACTCTTTGTCTTTTGCGATTGACGGAGAGATCCAAGGCCCCCTGAGTATCCCGCTTTGCCTATAATCTTTATAAATCTATAAAACTACACCTTCGTCTCTGTGTATTCTTTTATTTCCATTATTTTCCATTGTCTATTGTTTTCTTATCCTTTGCAATGACCCCTACCTAAGGGACCTGATTTTTTGCTGGGAGCATAGCTAACTTCCAGCATGTGTCCTTGGTTAAGTCATAAGTTTGGTTAAATTTAACATAAAAGGTACCTTTAAAACAGCTTGGGACTGGGTGCACGGTGGCTCAAGTCTGTAATCCTGGCACTTTGCGAGGAGGCTGAGGTGGGAGGATCACTTGAGGTCAAGATCGAGAACAGTGTGAACAAGAGCAAGACCCCGTCTCCACCAAAAAAAAAGAAAGAAAGGAAAGTTAGCCAGGCATAGTGGTGCACACCTATAGTCCCAGTGTCCCAGCTACCAGGGAGGCTGAGTCAGGAGGATCCCTTGAGCCCAGGAGTTTGAGGTTGCTGTGAGCTGTGATGCCACTGCACTCTAGCCAGGGCAACACAGTGAGACCCTGTCTCTAAAAAATAAAAAAATAGTAATTTTTTTAAAAAACAGCCTAGAGATTTGACAGGGAGAAGCGAAAACAGACATCTGCAAGCCTAGGAGAGAGGTTCAGAAGAAGCCGACCCTGCTGGCACCTTGATCTTGGACTTTGGTTCCACCCAAAGTGCTGAGATTACAGGCATGAGCCACCGCGCACGGCCTACACTGTATTATTATTACCACATATGCCACCATAGTATTGTTATTATTATAGCTATGGTATATGCACAGTTCATCAAGGATCTGAGTTACATACAAATCCGACCTAAAGACATTCTCAGCAGCGTGTCTCCTCCATAGCCCAGGGAACACCGGTACTCCTAAATAACTAGCCCAGATGCTTTTCAAGTTCACGTGACTTTAGTAATCTAAAAGTAAATCTACTTTAGTAAATAAGATAATTTTTAAATTGTTGGTAAAACAAAATAAGATAGAAACGTCTTCAAAATTTAAAACTTTTTTCCAAGTCTATTACTGGCTGGGTGGATTTGTACTATCTCTGCTAGATGTTTTAAAATCATAAAACTGTAGCTCTGTGATATGAGCTTATGCTTTTAGATTTTTTTTTTCATGTCAGATGGGTAATGTGCTCCTAATCGTAACAAGGTTTGAAGGCGGCACACCTCACACAGGCGTGTGAAAACCCAATCATCATACTTGTAAACTACAAAAGGATCTGCCTCTAGATTTAAGCTTTCAAATTCTGCTGTTTAGGGAGTGGCCATCTGAGGACATGTGGAATTCTCCCTGGCCCAGCTGTGCCTCCCAGCCATGCTGGGAAGGGTCAGGTATTATGTCCACAGCTTCCTCCTCAGTCCTGAGCTCTAAACTTGATATGAAGGCTCAAGACCCAGACGGGCCCTGCCCTCCATAGCCATCCTTGGGAGCCTTGGGGTAGTTGGGACCCCAGGTGGCTGAGAAAGGCATTAGAATGAGGGTACCTGTGTCATACTTTCAAAATTCTTTCAGTAGTCTCTTTAAATAGTTATGTAAAACTAAATAATAATCATAAAATGTCTGAGTCATCTCTAGGTAAATTAAAATGAAATAATTATTCAACATAAGTTTAAGTTTACATACATTGACATCTTATTTTCACATTATGTAGAAAGCTAAATATATTAAATCTGTTAGAAAAAAAATTGGGGACTGATAAAACAGTTAAAACTACTTCATACATTTAATAAAAATTATTAAGAGTTAATACTATAATAATGTCGACAGAAAAGAAGCCACACTCTGCAATTTAAAGAGGTTTATTCTGAGTCAAATTTGAGGACCATGACCCAGAGCCAAGCCCAAGAAGCCTTCAGCAAATGGACTGGCAGTGGTTGGGTTACAGTTTGGTTTTACACATTTCAGGGAGACAGGGGTCAATACACGGAAGGCATACATTGGTTGGCCCAAAAAGGTGGGCCATCTCTAAGCGGTGGGGGGAGGGGTGGCTTATAGGTTATAGATGGGTTTAAAGATTCCTTGATTTGTAATTGGTTAAAGACATGAAGCTTTGTCTAAAGACTTGGAATGTTTTAAGATAAGGAGGTCTGTTAATCAGAGACAAGCCATCAGACATACATTTGTTATGTAAATTGAGGACCTGCAGGTTTGTCTTGCATAGCCTTAGGCCTGTCAATGAGTTACAAAGGATGTCTCCAAGAATGGAGGGTAGCACGATGACCTCCCTTCTCCTGGTAGGCAATTTAGTTTTAGGATATCCCCTTGGCCAGGCGGTGGGGTCCATTCAGTCAACCAGTGGGGGGAAGCCTTAAGATTTTACTGTACTTCACAATCAATGTATGTAATTAAAGCTACTAGGCATAAGAGAAACAATTTTATATACAACATGAGTTTTTAAAAAAATAGGATTAAGCAGCATAGGGCTGGGCACAGTGACTCACGCCTGTAATCCCAGCACTTTGGGAGTCCAAGGCGGAAGGATTGCTTGAACCCAGGAGTTCGAGACCATCCTGAGCAACATAGTGAGACCCCAACTCTACAAAAAATTTAAAAATTATCCAGATGTGGTGGCGCATGCCTGTAGTCCCAGCTACTCTGGAGGCTGAGTCAGGAGGATTACGTGGGCGCAGGAGTTCGAGGTTGTAGTGAACTATTTTGATGCCACTGCCCTCCAGCCTGGGCAACACCGCAAGACCCTGTCTCTAAACAAAATGCAAATAAAAATTAAATTTAAAAGTTCAAGCAAAGCCATTTTTTTTTCCTGCATATTATGGGGGTACAAATGTTTAGGTTACATTAGCCGTGGGCCCCCTTTCCCGTTTGTTTTTTTTTTTGAGACAGTCTCACTCTGTTGCCGTGGCTAGAGTGCTGTGGCGTCAGCCTAGCTCACAGCAAGCTCAAATTCCTGGGCTCAAGCGATCCTCCTCTCTCAGCCTCCCACGTAGCTGGAAAGACAGGCATGTGCCACCATGCCCAGCTGATTTTTCTGTATATTTTTAGTTGTCCATCTAATTTCTATTTTTTCAGTACAGAGGGAGTCTCGCTCTGGCGCAGGCTGGTCTCCAACTCCTGGCCTCAAACAATCCACCCGCCTCGGCCTCCCAGAGCGCCAGCCGCCTTTTAGGCCTGTTAATGAGCTGCAAAGGCCATTTCCAAGAAGGGGGAAGGGGGTGCATGATAGGTAGGGTATGTCTGATCTCCCTTCTCATGGCCAGCAACTCAGCTTTAGAGAATTTCTGGGGTCCCCTGGGCCAAGAGGGGATCCATTCAGTTAACTGGGGGCGCTTAAGATTTTATGTAAGTTCACAATCCTAAGGAAAAAAGTCAAAGATCCGTCTGTGGCTTGTGTCTCTCCCAGACACGCCGTAAAGCTGCCTTAATAAACCTCAACTGATTGAGCTCCTTGCCTCAGTCCCCCATGTGGGTTATCCCGTGTCTCCCCCAAGGCACATCATTCATTCACTCTCCCTGGGATGAAGGACACCCTGTGCCCTGTTATCCCCGCAAAATAGATGTGCCTGCGTCCAGGGCCCACCGGACCGCATCAACATGGCGACCTCGCGTTTGTCACTCCCGGGATGGCGCCATCGCCTCCCGTGTCCCGCCAACGCTCGGCCACCACGCCGACTGGCGCCAACAGCGCCTCAGCACCGAGATGGCGGCCGCACGCCAACTGGCGCTCCCCGTTTCCGACTCCCTTAAAATGGCCGCGGCCCGCACGGGGCGGAGGGAGATGGGGCGGACCCGCGCGCGGGGCATGCCGGGTCGCGCGCCGGCTGCCGGGAACGGGGCGGAGCGCGTCGGCGCCGGCGCGTCGAGGGGAGAGGCAGCCGCCGAGATGGTGAGCGGGCGCGGGGGGAGGGGCGGCCGGGCCGGGCCGGGCCGGGCCGGGGGCGGCGGGGAGCGGTGGGCCGCGCGGGGGACCCGGGCTCCGCGCTCACGCCGGTCCGCCGCCCCCAGGACGTGTTCCTCATGATCCGGCGCCACAAGACCACCATCTTCACGGACGCCAAGGAGTCGAGCACCGTGTTCGAACTGAAGCGCATCGTCGAGGGCATCCTCAAGCGGCCGCCCGACGAGCAGCGGCTGTACAAGGTGCGGCCCCGCGGTCGCGCCGGGCCCTGGCGGGGTGAGAGGAGCCGCCGCCCCGTGCCCAACGTGGGGCGCGCCGGCGACGGTGTCATCGATGTAAACAGTCGCCGGGCGGTCGGCCCGAGCCGCGGGGGTGGGACATCCGTTGTGCGGACGGAGTACGAGCGGCGCTCGTACACGGGGAGGTCGGGTCCAGGGTGGATTTTCAAATCGCATGCCAGGCCCCGGGCGCAGAGGGGCGCGGCGGCATCGCACCCCTACAGCGGTTCCGCCCGCGCCCTGCCGGCTCTGGACAGCCCTGCTCTGCAGTTAGGAAAACTGAGGTTCGCCGAGGGTCATCGGCAGAGCCAGGATTTGAACCTTGAGGCCCTTAATCCCCACCTTACTCTGTAGGCCCATCAGAATCATGCTGACCCCAGACACTCCGGGCGATGGGGAGCGGGGGACCCAATTAATGCAGAGAAATAAAGGGTGTTGGGATGTCAGGTCTCCGCAGTTCATCATCAAGTAACTGTTTACTACCTCCCAACTTCCTGCCGATGTTCTAGAAGACTCTCCTTAAAAACGAAGTGTTATTATTAAGTAGCAGTGCCTTTGGGTTTGGAGTCTTCACTGGGGAGTCAGATGCATCAACCCCTGATTTAGATGTCCCAGCAGCATGAGGTTGTCATCTAAGGGCATTAATCTGATTCTAAATCTGGAAGCTGGGAAACTGACTTTTGCTCCAGGCTCAGAGCCTCAGCTTCCAGGGTCTCTAAAAGCCTTTCCTGCTCGATAGCCACTGGGGCTTCCCTAATGACTACCCTTCTTGCTGCCTGTGCATGTCCCATGTGCCACATACTGGGTTTGGTTTCTCTGTGCCTCCCTAGCTCATTGAAACCTGGCTGCCATGTGAGTTGGGAATTTCAGTAATTCCCATTTTACAGATGAGGAAATTTCGCATCAAAATGTTTACCTTGTCCAAGGTGGCAGAGCTGGGATTCAAACGTAGCTCTGCCTGTCTCCACACTAGCTCTGTGGTTCCTGGAATTAGATTTGCCTGGAGAATTCGGAAAAACCAGATTCTGCAGCCCCACCCTGGGAGTTCTGACTTGGAAATTCTTGGCTATAAACCTGGAATTTGTGTTTGATAACACACTGGGGTGGTCCTGGGCCACACTTGGGGCTGTCTTTCTTCCCTCCTGTGACTTTCAGTGCAGTTGCTGGCCAGAGAGGTCTCTGGAACTTGGCCTTCCTGGAGCTTCTCCCAAGACCCTTCCTCTCTCCTCAGGACGACCAGCTCCTGGATGATGGCAAGACGCTGGGCGAGTGTGGCTTCACTAGCCAAACAGCACGGCCACAGGCCCCAGCCACAGTGGGGCTGGCCTTCAGGGCAGGTGAGAAGGGCCTGGGCTGAGTGACAGCAAGGCAGGATGGAAACAGCCAAAGAAGAGGGTCTTCAGGAGGCCTATGGTTGCTCCTTCAAGCCCACGGGGCAGTGTTTTCCCAGTACACAAAGGGCAGGCAATATGCTTCGATAGTATGTGTGTGTTTCTCCATAAAAAGAAAAGCAAGCCAACAGATGCTTGTGGAAACTGAAGCCTCCTTGCCAGAGAATTTGAAGATCCCTAGTCATGTACCAGCTGACGTTTACAGACAACTTAGTGAGCTCCTGGCCCCGCACTCTGCATGTTACTTCCATTGTCCCATCTCATCCTCTCAATGGGCGTGGGAGGTCCGTACTGCATCATCCCCATCTTGCAGATGAGCACGCTGAGGCTTGCCGGCCATTACAGAGGGAGCCGCAGTCCGGATGCTGCCTGCTGGGCCCTTGCTGGAGCCAGACGCCAATGCCAGGCTCTTTCTGTGCAGTACTTCACTTAATCCCCCAGCACCTCTGTGTGGCTGACACGTGGATTGTGTCAGTTTTAAGGATGAGTAAAGTCTGCCTGGGGACATTAGGTCACTTAGTGGGACTGCCAGATCTAGGATTCAGATCCAGAACCTGTGCTGTCATTAAGCACATGCCACCCCTGCCCAAGCTCTAGAAACCCAGAGGGTGGAGAGGGCTTGACTTCTCCCCGGTGTATCTCCCTCCACCAAGACAAAGGAAGGGGGGGTTTTAAGTTTTATTCTTTGTCTCTGGGAACTTAAACAGTTACGGGGCTGTGTGGATGGCTGGGGAAACTTGGATAAAGTCAGAAGGAATTATTTTTCTGCCTCGTTAGAAAACATGGCAAGGGCTGAAGAGGAAGAGTACAGTCCTAGCTACACTTTTCTGTTCCCTAAGGATTACTGGGCTAGGCCGAGGCCTCAGCAGCTGTGTCCTGGTGCCCGCGTCTTTGCACTCCCAGCCCCTCTGGGCCTAGGGTTCCCTTCTCCGTAAGAGGAAGATGCAGCCTGAGCCCCTGTGCACCCAGGCCTGGCCTGCTGCGAGTGCTCAGCAGGTGGGAAGTGTAGGGACATTTCTGTGGGTTCCTTCTGCCCACGTAGTGACCCTGGGAGTCAGGTGCAGGGCTGGTACAGACGCACAGTTCATGCCTTGTTCAGGTGTGCCTTGAGGGGGGCAAGTGAGGGCCAAGAGTGCAACTGGTCTGCTTGCTAAACCGAGGCTGAGTTGCATTCTCCCAGAATTTCCTTTTCCCTGATTTGAAAAAATGTACATGCTGTGACATGGAAGATGTTGACAGACCCATTTTGCAAATGAGAAAATCAAAGTTAAGGGAGGTGACTAGTTTTTGCCCACAAAACCCAGTATGGCATTGAATGTGGTGGGCCCCAGGTCCCATCATCCCTGAGGCGTGTGACAGCTGTTTGATTGGGGCCACAGTGTGGGCCAGCAGGTCTGTTTCCCCATGGGCTGCTTTACTTAAACACGCTTCTGGGCACAGCTCAAGTAGTCAGCACATAGATTCCTGGGCCTTGGCTGGAGGAGATGCTGGCCTCTCCCAGGCACCCAAACTAACTGCTCAGGGAGATGAGATAAGAGTATCAAATTCAGTGTTAAAGGGCATTGTCCAGACTAATGGCCAGAGATAGAGAGGTAGTCAAGGCAAGAATTGTCACCGCAGGTTAGTGGCTTGGAAAGTGCATTACATTTAGCTGGATCAGGTTTCTACACCTCAGCACTACTGGCATTTAGACCGGGTAACTCCGTGCGGGGTTGTCATGTACGCTGCAGTATGTGTAGCAGCGTCCCTGATCTCTACCCTCTAGATGCCAGCTGCAGCCCCCCACTGCCTGTCATGACAACCAAAACTGTCTCCAGACACGCCAGCTTTCCCTGGGGGGTCTGATCAGTTGAGAACCCTGAGCCGGGTGGAAGGGAGCACAGGAGAAAAGTTGTGAAGTGGGCTCATTCGCTGTGTGGGGGGGTGACAGTGGGAACTTCCTGGAGCCACTGTTGTAGTGAAAAGGAGCCAGTCAAAAGAAATATGGCAATTTTGCCCAGTGGTAAGTGCCCCCAAGGTGATGCCCAGGGTGTTGGAATGCAGTGACTCAGTTTGGTCGGGGGCGCTGGGGAAGGTTTCTCTGAGGTGACCTTTGTGTTGAACCCTGAATGCCCAAAAGCAGCCAGCCATTCTGAGTGGCAGGTGTTGGGACCAGCAAGTGCAGAGGTCCCAAGGCAGGAAGAGCTTGGTGGGAGCACAGGGAGAGGGAGCAAGAGTCCAGGAGCATAGGAGACAGATGACTGGAAAGACAAAATGGCAAGGACTTGAGATTTTATTCAGACTGAGATGGGAAGCCACTGGAAGATTTTAAGCAGCGGAGGAATACAGTCGTTTGATTCTAAAATCATGGAAAAGTGTTGTGAAGGGAACAGGAGAGACTGGGACATTCTGGGTGATGGGGGCTGTGGAGACAGAGTAGGTAGATGGCAGGTGGTCAGCCCACAGGCTCACTGGTGGCATGGAAGATGTGGGAAAAGGCCTTGGGCAGGGGGTCACAGTCAGGGTGGGAGATACTCCAGTGGGGTCAGAGCTGTGGGGGAGACTAACTTTGTGGGTATGGATGTTTGCGTGGAGGGCCACAAAGCTACGGATTATCACAGGTGAACACCAAGGCCCTGGTTGGGGGAGGAATCAGGATTCCCCCTCTAGCTGTGTCCCTTGTTCCACAGATGATGCCTTTGAAGCGCTGCGCATCGAGCCCTTCTCCAGCCCGCCGGAGCTGCCAGACGTGATGAAGCCCCAGGACTCGGGAAGCAGCGCCAATGAACAAGCCGTGCAGTGAGGACCCCTGGCCCGCCCCCAGGAGGCCCATTCCCTCCCCCCCAATAAAAGAGTTTTGGGTGTCTGCCTGGTTGCTGCCTCTTTCTGCGCATCCTCCTCCTGACTCCAGGCATCACCCTCCCTTGGGTGGGTCCTGCTGCCTCAGCAGGCTCCTCTTGGGGCTCTTGTTTACCTGGGACTCTGGCTGAGAACCTGGGCCCCACCTGCCACTCAAAGGCACCATAGGGATCTGGGTTGCCCTGAAGGCTGAGCCACTCCCACCAGCCAGCCGTGGGGGGTAGAGAGGGTGGGCAGGAACCCAGAGCCCTGAGCCAAACTTACCCAGCAGGGCACAAGAGATTCCAGGCCATACCCCTTGAAGCCCTCCCACACCCCATCATATCCACTCCTAGGGGCCTCCGGTCCTGAGGAGCAAAGGCCAAAAGCAGCAGCGTCATAGTTTGAGAGTATGTTCAGTGAGGGAAGCACAGCCCAGAATGGCCCCACAACAGGTTCCCCAAGGCCCTCAGGAGAAAGTGGCCCACCTTGAAGGCTTGTGGTCAGGGTAGAGGGTGGCGCCTCCAGTCTGCTCCCACCACACCCAATAATAAAACAGTCTACAATTCCAATTCCTGCATTTCTCATTTTTATTTGACAGAAAAAGTTGCTCTTGCTGTACAGATTTTAAAAAACCAAAATGCCTTTAAGAAACGTGAAGAAAAGTTGGGGGGAAGGGGCCACACCTCATGGGGGACAGTAGGGACCAACTAATCAACTCCTGTCCCTTCTAAGAATACCTCATATAACTTCCCAAGTCCCAGACCATCGCCCCCCAGGATCTTGGGGCTACCAGGGGGCCATGCCTCCCAGGCCCTTTCTGACTGCAAGCTGGGGTATCCTGAACTGTATCCTCCCCTCCCCCAACTCCCATCTGCATTCCCTCCCACCCCAAAACACGTGAACCAGGAAAAACTCACGGAGATTAACATTTCACAGGAACAAAGAAAGAAAAGGGAGAGGGGAAAGAAGGGAACCCTCCCTCCAAGGGCTGCCAAGGTTCAAGGGGGGAGTCAGACAAGGACCCCTCCCACTGCTCTGCTGGGGAAGAGGACACTCCCTGTGGCTCCAGAGCATGGGGTGTGGTGGTATCCCCCAAAGATGATTTATGGAGACCTGAAACAGAGAAGATGATGGGGATCAATCAATACAGAGGCTCAAGCCCAGCTTCCTGGGTGACTCCCAGAATGGGGTCACTGCCCACCAGCACCAGAACCAGCTCTAAGAAGCCTGGGCCTTCCAGGGGAACACACCTGGAGGAGCGGTGTCGCATGGGCTGAGGGCTAGGTGTCTCCCTCCTGCGCTTGTGGCCTGGGGAGCGGCTGTCCCCTCGCTGGCCTCTCCGGGAACCTCGCTCACTGCTGCTGCTGCCAACACAAGACAGACATCAGACCACACACAAGGTAGCACCAATCTTAAGCACCACTGGGCCTCAAAACTTTTTTTTTTGCAGAAATCAGTAGTGGCCAGACCAGGCTGAATGCTGACACTTGCTGTTTGGCCCTACCTCAGCTGGTCCTGTGGCGAAGGCTGAGGCGAGGGACGGCGACGCTCCACAGGCGAGTAGCTAAGGGACCGGGAGTCCCGAAGGGAGTCTATTGGCTTCCGGGGGCTGCGAGACCTGGGGAGCAGAGTAGGACCCCATAGCACCACACACTTCCAAATCCACCAGCCAGCACTCAGGACCACCCGCCCCAGGTCCTGACCACCAAACCTCACCACGCAGGGCCAGCCTCAGACCCACCTTTGTCCGCTCACTCACTCATCCGCCCGCACACCATCCACCGAGTGCCCTAGTGGGCAGGGCACAGGGTGCAGCGGGGGATGCAAAGATACAGACAGTCCCTGCCCTTGGAGGAGTTCAGTGGGGAAGGAAGGCACACAGGGCCCATGTGTGGGAAGCAGCCCCGCAGGGCTGGATGTGCGTGGGTCTGGGGACCCAGGGGAAAGGGACGTGGGGCGGGGCAGGGCAGTCTTCTCGAAGGTGCTGTTTGAGCGGAGTCTTGCAGAACGAGGAGTTCACCAGGCGGACAAGGAAATTCCAGGCAGAAGGAACAGCATGTCCAAAGGCATGGGCTCTCCTTAGACTGCAAGGCGCTGGGTGTGGCTGGAGCACAGGGCATGTGTGGGGGCGGGCAGGAGAGGAGAACACAGGGCGGGCAAGGCCAGTTGGTGAAGAGCCTCACACGCCATTCCCGCAGAGGTGGGGCTTTATCCTGCAGGCCACAGGGCATCCCGGAAGGATTTGTGGAGTGGAGGGAAGTAACCAGATGTGCGTTTTAGAAAGATCCCTCTGGCTACATGTGGAAGAGAATGGCGTGAAGGCAAGGAGACAGGGAGGAGGCTGTGGACAGAGTCGGGAGAAGATGACGGTGGCCAGACCAGAGCCCTGTGGCAGTAGCAGCGGGGAGACTTAAAAGGAAGAATCCCTGGGACCAGGCTGTATGTCAGGGGAAAGGAGAGGAAGAAACCTAGACTCCCAAATTGTGGCTTGAGCACCCACTTGGGTAACGCAGTCCTTTGCCACAACAGGGCACAATGAAACGGGGGTGGGGGTGGGGGGGGAGGAGAGCGCCCAACTCCTCCCATACAACCAGACACCAAAGTTCACGTGAGACACCCCCAGGGTCCCTTCTCTGGACACATCAACCCCCCTTCCATCTCAGGCAAGGAAGCACTCACCTCCGCTCGCCAGGGGGTGGCTTCTTGGGGCTTGCAGGTTTGGGCAAGGCCTGAGGACCAGGCTTAGCAGGGGAAGGGGAGGAAGAGGAGGAGGAGGAGGAAGAGGAGGAGGAGGAGGAGGAGGAAGAAGAAGAGGACGAGGAAGAAGAGGAAGAGGAAGAAGAGGAAGAGGAAGAGGAGGAGCTGGAACTGGAACTGCTAGAGCGCCTCTTCCGTTTGGCTGGGGTTGGCTCCGGAGGACGTCCCTCTCGCACAGCCTCCTTTGGGGCTGGGGTAGGGCTGGGGACCCTGTGGGAGAAGAAGAATGTCACAAGGAGACAAGCTGCCCCAGCCCCAACCCTACCTTCCTTGGCCTGGAGGAACGGCAGTGCGGGAGGGGTGCCTGAGAAAGGCCCTGGGAGCTCTCCAAGCCACACGAGCCAGTGAGCACATTCTCTGGAGAGCAGTGGCCCGAGCTGACCCAACCTCTGCTAACAAAAGCAACAGGCTGGGGCCCGTAGCACAAGGGATCAAGGTTAAACCTCAAGAATGTCCCTGATGGAGGAATAAGGCCTCTGGGCTCAGGTGTGGAAGCTGAAGCTGGGTAGTCTCCTTCCTCGGAGAGCCGCAGCTTGGGGAGGCCCCTGTGACTGCAGGTTGGCTGGGGAAGGGGCCGTCCTGCCTGGAGGCAGGGAGAGGGATGGGATGACCTCTGAAGATCCTTCCAGCCCAGGGAGTTCCTCTTGAGGTCTAACTGCCATCCCTCCTGCTGTAAAATTAAGTCCATTTCCTCTAGTTCTGTCCTCTGTAGAGATGGAAAACTTATCATTATCCTCTAGAGAATTAACCTTCGGAGACTTTTACCTGTCCCATTCCTCCCCCCTCAGCCCCCACCCCAGCATTCTCCTCTTCCCCCAGCTTGAGCATCAAGGTCCCCATACCTTCTCAAAGCACCAAGAACCTCTGTAACATGGTTTCTCCCACCCCACTCCCCCACCCACCCTCGATCCCTTCCCCCTAGGAAATTTCTACAAGTCAAATTCCCTCACCTCTTCAGTGCCACATCAGGTTGAGCTGGAAGGCTAGAGCCCTCCGAGTCACTAGAACTGGAGCCAGAGGAGGAGGAGGAGGACGATGACGATGATGATGAAGAGGAGGAGCTAGAGGACGAGGAGGAGGAGGAGGAACTCCGCCGCTCCTTTGCTGGCTGCAGGGCGGCCAATGCGGAAGGCTGCTGGGCCCCAGTAGAGGCAGGTGGTTCCCCCCCCTCAGAATGGGACACCCCAGGGGCAGCGACAGAGAGCATGCCATTGTGGCCACCAGCAGGCGATGTGGTCTTTGCCACTGCCCCAGAAGAAAGGGACTGAGACCCTGCTATGGGGGTGGTCTGGGCAATCAAAGAACGGGATTGGTCTGAAAAAGCAGATGGCACAGGCGACCTAGGCCGCTCCTGTGCTGGAGGGAGAAGAGACTGTGAGGGAGCCTGGCCCATTCTTGAAGGAGGGGAGGGAGCTCGCTCAGAGGTCATCCTAGACTGGCTTGGGGCAGATGGTGGCGTTCTGGATCTGGCTCGGTCAAGGAGCGGTGGTGAGGTTCTGCCACTGACACGCTCGTAGGCAGAGAGGGGCACCCTGGGGCTGGTGAGGTTTGCACCAGACAATGCCGGAGCCATCCTAGCACTGGTGAGGCTTGCAGGAGCCAAGGCTGTGGGGGTTCTGGAGCTGGCAATATTGACAGGAGCTGTGGCATGTGCAGACCGAGGACCCACCAGGTTTGCAGAGGCTGGAGCCTGGGGTGTTCTGGAACTGGAAGGATAATTTGCAGCAGTTGGGGGAGTGCCAGAGCCTGTGAGACTCAAAGCTGCCAAGGCAGCTGGGGTTCTGGCTCCTGCCAGGTTCACAGCTGGGGCTGTGGGGGTACGAGGGTCAGCAAGGTTCACAGCTGAAGGTGCCACCGCTGTTCTGGGGCTGGCCAAGTTCATGGCTGCTGCTGCGGCTGGCGTTCGCGAGTCAGCCAGGTTCACTGCTGTCGGGATGGCAGGTGTTCTGGCACTGGCCAGGTTCATGGCTGCTGCAGAAGCTGCAGGAATCCTGCTGGCAAGGTTGGCAGCTGGGGCCGTTCTGAGACTCATGAGAGGCACCGGAGCTGGAACCTGGGACATTCTTGCAGCAAGGCCAGCAGCGGACATGGACGGAGGAGGCCGAGCAGTGCCAAGACTGATAGCCGTCAGGGCAAGAGCAATTCTAGATTGAGCATGATTTTCTGGGACAGATGTTCTCTGGTGATCAGGTATTCGAGGACCTGGACCATCCATCATGGAGCCACCAGCTTGCTGCAGGACAGACATGGGTGTTCTAGAGCTGCCAAGGGGTTCAAGCATTCCAGGTGATCTGCAGCGGTCAAGAGGAGTTGGTGACATGCTAGGACGACTGAAGCAGCTCACTCTGGAGCTATTAAGTGCTACTGGAGGTGTCCGAGAACCAGAATGGTTCCTTGTTGCTGGAGGAGTAGCAGAACGTGAACGATCAGAACTACTTCCAGATGCAGAACGCCTGCGGATGGCTGGAGGAGATCTTGTTAAGGACCGTTTGCCCCGAGTTGTTCGTGGAGTACGGGATCTAGAACGGCGGCGGATAGCAAGTGGTGAGCGACTTCGAGAACGTTTGCGTGGCAACAGTGGTGTTCGAGACCTAGAGCGGCGCCGAATAGCTGGAGGTGTTCGGGACCTAGAGCGGCGGCGTGTCACTGGAGAGGTTCGAGAGCGGGACCTTCTTCGAGTTACTGGAGAAGTGCGAGATCGAGATCTCCTTCGGGTGACCGGAGATGTTCTGGATCTTGATCTTCTACGAGTGATAGGTGAAGTTCTGCTTCGAGATCGTCTCCTGGTTACAGGCGGAGTCCTAGATCTGGACCTTCTGCGAGTCACTGGTGGAGTTCTAGAACGTGAGCGCCGGCGTGTTGTTGGTGTTCTGGACCTTGAACGACGGCGTGTTACTGGTGGTGTTCTGGACCTCGATCGCCTTCGACTCACTGGGGATGCTCTTGACCGAGATCTTCGCCGAGTCACTGATGTTCTGGACCGTGACCGCCTCCGACTGACTGGTGAGGTTCGAGACCTGGACCTACGTCGGCTTATCAGAGGTGTTCTGGACCTGGATCGCCGGTGAGTGGCTGGAGAGGCTCGAGATCTAGAGCGTTTCCATGGGGCTGGTGACGTGCGTGAGCGAGAACGTTTCCGACTGGTTGGAGGTGTCCGAGAACGGCCTCTTCGGCGTCGAGAGGAGGTTCGGGAACTCTCCTGCCTGACAGGTGATCTTGAGTGATAACCAGAGCCTCCCCTCCTTCGACGAGTAACCCGAGACCTTGACCGGCTCCGCTGTCTTCTCCGAGACGTTGACTGAGAAGATCCAGACCTATCTCGACGGCGGGTTGTTCTGGTTTTCTCCCTCCTTGAGCGGGAACGAGACCTCTGGAGTCCACGAGGCTTTGGTGAAGGAGACCGGCCTCTCCTGGAAGTTGTCTTAGTGCGTGGAGATGAAGCTGAGCGCCGTCGGCGTGAAGATCTCGACTTTTCAGCTGGCTCTGGGGAAGACACTGAGGGACTTCTTCGACGTCTTGGGGGAGTTCTTGAGCGGGTTTCTGGTGAGGAAGAGGCAGAGCGGCTTCTACGGGAAAGTCTGGCCTTCCTTGTTAGTTCAGGAGATGATCGAGAACTGCGACGCCGAGGTGGCGTGCGAGATTTGGTCTTAGGCTCTGGTGATGACCTGGAGCCTCTTCGAACCATTTTGGATTTGGGTAGGTGTTCTGGAGAGGACTCGGTACTGCTGCTTCCTTCAGGAGAAGGGCCTCTGCCTTTGCTTGATGAACCTGATCTGCTTCGTCTGGGAAGGGCCCTAGGGGTAGGAGCTTTGGGTTCCGGAGAGGAATCAGAACCGCTCTGTGCCCTGGGTGCCACTCTTGGCTTATCTTTCACTTCAGGGGAGGAGCCAGACCTACTGAGTCGAGGAGAAGGTCGGGATTTGCTATCAACCTCTGGAGATGATCCAGAGCGACTCCTCTGCCTAAGTGGGGTTCGTGCCTTGGTTTTAGAATCTGGAGAAGAGTCTGACTCACTTCTTTCCTGAGGGGATGCACGGGGTTTCCCATCAAGTTCTTGAGAAGATCCGGACCTACTTCTCTGCCCCAGTGGAGTCCTAGCCACAGTTTTCTGTTCAACTGATGATTCTGACCCACTTCTCTCTCTCTGTGGGGTAAGACACTTGTTGTTGAGTTCTGGGGATGATGGAGAATGACTTCTTGGCCTAGGAGTCTGAGGCAAAGCTTTCGGTTCCGGAGAAGAATCACATTCACTTCTCCCCCTGGATGGTGTTCTAGGTACATCTTTCATTCCAGGAGAGGACCCAGACAGGCTGTGCCTTGAGGGAGTCCCAGACCCATCTCTAAGTCCTGGAGAAGACCCAGACCTGCTTCTCCTCGATGGAGTTCTGGGTAAGCCATCTTTCAGTTCAGGAGAAGATGCAGAACTACTCCTTTCTCTCGAGGGTGTTCTGGGTAAAGCATCAAGTACGGGCGAAGCAACACTCTGATTTGAAGACATTCCAGCCTTTTCCACTGCATCTGGGGATAATTCAGAACTGCTGTGTCCAGAGGATCTTGTTGATTGTTCTCTCACATCTAGAGATGGATCTGTCTCCAGCTGATTAAGAAAAGGTCCATTCAAATCTTCTTTAACCTCAGAAGAAAATCCAGTATTCATTTCTGTACCAATAGGGCCTGAGTTTCTAAATTCTAAAGGTGATCCAAAGCTATTCTCCCTGGGGGGGGAGTTAGACAGTTCTTTATGTTCTGGAGAAAAATGTGGCCCACCCCAAGATGAGGCCACTGCAGCAACTTCTACTGCTTCCAAAGCAGCCTGTGACTGGCTTTGGTCAAGAGTCAAAGATACAGAAGGCCTTTCTTCTATTTCGGGAGATGATTCAAAGTTATTTCCAGCCATTTCTTTACGTTCTGGAGAGAAATGGGGCAGGACATGGCGTGAGAGTTCTTCAGATTTCTCTACCACCTCCATTAACTCTTCATCTTGGCTTGACTTAGCTAATGTGCTCTTTTGGTCTCTTGTATCTGGAGATGACCCAGCACCACTTCTTTCCCTCAATGGGGTTCTAGGTATGTCTTTGAGTACTGGTGAAGACTCGGGCCTAATCTGTACCAAAGGACTAAATTTGTCTCTTGGTCTAGGAGATGATGTAGTAACATCCTCCTGAAGGAATAAGCCCATCTTCTCTTTTGATTCAGAAGGCTCTGATCTACACTGCCCCAGAAGAGATTCAGAGTCTACTGCAGCATATGAAGAGTCAGACTGGGACCTGCTCTGCTCAGGAGACATTCCAGATTTCAGCCTAGGACTTCCTGATAATTCCCTTCTCTCTTGCCTTGTTGGAGATTTGGGTGCCAGCTCAGTGATTGGAGATGAGGACCTGGACTGATCACCCTTAGGAGGGGTTTGAGATTTGCTCTGCACAGATGGAGATTCTGAGTGACTCTGTCTCACTTCCGGACTTGAAGTATCAGATCTGAGGTCTGGTGAGATTTGAGATTGTCCTCTCTGTTGCAGACATGAAGAGCCAAAATAGCTATCTCCTGGTGGTGTACTAGATTTTACTCCTGGACAGAGAGAGAAAGATCCAGGGGAACTTTGTGCTGGTGAGTCTTTAGACTTCTCTTGGTGACGAGGAGACTTTGATCCAAAAAGACTTAGCCCCGGTGGAGTTTGGGGCTTTACTTTGGGGTACGGCGAAGTAGACCCTGAGTGACTTCGTCTCGGTGGTGTTTCAGGTTTCACTTTGGTATCTGGTGAGGAGGACCTAGAATGGCTGTGCCTTGGCAATAATCTGGATTCCACATTGGAGCGGGGAGACGCTGATCTGCTTTGCCTTGGAGGTGTTCTAGATGTCACCCTACTAGGACTTGGAGAAGAGGAGCCAGAATGGCTTCTTTGTCTTGGGGATGTTACGGCCTTCACTTTGGGTTGTGGAGATGATGACCTAGATGGGCTCTGTCTTGGAGGTGTACTAGATTTCACTCTAGGAGGAGAGGACCCAGAGCAGCTATGTCTTGAAGGGGTCCTAGATTTTAACTCAGGGTCAGGTGATGACTCAGAATGGCTCCGTCTTTGTGGTGTTGCAGATTGTTCATTGGCCTGAGGACTTCCTACAGACCCTTGTCTTGGAGGTGTTCCAGATTTCGCTTTAGGGGGAGGAGATGAACTGGAATGACTTTGTCTTGATGGCGTTTTAGATTTCTGTTTAGGTGGTGGCGAAGAACCAGACCGACTACGTCTGGGTGGTGTTCTAGATTTAGCTTTATGTTGGGATGATCCAGAGCGACTGCGCCTGGGTGGTGTCTGTGACTTTTGTTTAGGGCATGGAGAGGACCCTGAAAGGCTTCGCCTCAAAGACAAGCGTGACTTTACTTTGGATCGTGGTGAAGAGACAGACCTGCTCCGCCTTGAAGAAACACGAGATTTTTTCATTTCTGGGCTCGAGTTGGACCTACTCCTCTGAGATGTTCTGGATTTGTTTTTTCGCTCGGATGATGAGCCAGACCTGCCTCTTCTTTGTGGCGTTCTAGAGTGAGATCTTCCTCGTCTAACTAGACTTCTACTGCGGGATCTTCCTCGTCTTGGTGTCCTAGACCGAGATCTCCCTCTCCGGGCTGGTGTTCTGGAACGTGACCGTGCACTTCTCCTGGCTGGGGTTCTAGAGCGCGACCGCGCACTTCTCCTGGCTGGGGTTCTAGAGCGTGACCGCGCACTTCTCCTGGCTGGGGTTCTAGAACGTGACCGGGCACTTCTCCTGGCTGGAGATCTACTGCGAGACCTTCGTCGGACTGGTGATCGGGTCCTGGATCTGCGCCTAGCAGGTGTTCTAGACCTAGATCTGGCCCTTCGGGGCGGTGTTCTAGACCGAGACCTGCGCCTGGTGGGTGTTCTAGAGCGTGATCTCCGCCTGGCAGGTGTTCTAGAACGAGACCTGCCCCGCCGAGCTGGTGTTCTAGAACGAGACCTGCCCCTGGTGGCTGGGGATCTAGAGTGTGATCTACCTCGCCTTGCTGATCGAGACCTGCCTCTTCTCTGGGTATTTCTGCTCCTGGACCAGCCTGGTCGCTGAGGAGACCTAGAGCGGCCATGTCGCTGTGGGCTTCTAGATCTTCCCCACCTCTGTGCAGACCTGGACCTACGCCACTGAGGGGACCGGGACCGGGAATGACCTCTCTTGGTAGGGGTTCGAGACCGAGATCGCCCCCTCTTAGTAGCTGCAGGGCTACGGGACCTCCCCACCCTACGGGAAGGGGTATGAGAATGAGATTTATCCCGTTTTGCTCGGCCATGGGATCGATTCTTGGATGTGGGAGAAGAACTCTCTCGGCGGGCCCCAGGAGCTGGAGCTGGTTTAGGACTTTCAGGGGAAGAGCTGGCATGCCGAGAAACTTTGGTAGGTTGAGGGGATGGTGGGCTGCTCTCTGAGGAAGAAGACTGGGGAGGTTTCTCAGGAGACTTAGGTGGTGAACGGCCCCGGGTTGGGGAGGCCTCAGATGGAGGGTTCACTGGCTCCTGACTTAAGGGGGTTGTTGCAAGGGGTTGTGGGGAGCCGCCATGTTGCTCAGCAAGGAGCGGAGTGGGAGCAGGTGGTTCTGGGGCAGTGCTGCTCCTTTCCGGAGAGGGACTAGGTCGAGCTGCAGATTTCTAAGAGTAGAAGAAAGAGTAGGATAGGGATACATAAGTACCAAAACTTCACATTACCCATAAGATCCCAACACCCTTTCCAATGAAACTTTTCTTCTACACATTCCATTACACTAATTGGTCCTTTTCCTCGCCACAGGCAATCATATTCATTCAGTAACAAGGAATCACATGATATAAAGCACAATGCGGAAAACATGAAGATATGGATGATCTGTGACCTGATGTGTCTCATGACTACAGAAAAGACAAAATGCAAATAAGAAATGCACTACATTTAACAATAAATACCACTACAAAATGCTGTGAAAACAGAAAAAATTTTTTAATAGAAAGATAAGAGGTTTCTGAAAGTGGGTGGCAATTAACTTCATCCTTGAAGAATAACTGTGTTAAATTAAAATAAACAGCATAAATAAAGGCAAAGGTTTGAGAACATGATTTGTGTGAAAAATAAAGTAGAACAGGATGGGTGGAGTACAGGAAAAGAGAAAAGGAAACCAAATTATAAAAGCCTTTAGATACAATTCAAAAGCAGTATAACATAGTTAAGTTTCTGAGGTGACCCAACTTGTAATTTGGAAAGGTTAACTCTAGATGACATCAAAAATAGATGACAGAAGTTAAGAATTTATATTGTAATAGTCAAAGCAAGAAGAAATGACTAGGGCTTGAATTAGAAGAGGAGATATAAAACAATAGGAATTACTGATAACACCATACCACAGTGTTTTCAGACTGCTGACAGGAATCCAGTGGGTTCAAAAATTTAACTGAGCCATGACCAGCATTTAATGAAATAAACTAAAGGCATATTAAAAATAGAAAAGCTCAACGTAGTTTAAAAATTTTGTTCCAGTTCTATCTATATACATATGTAAACAGTATAGTGACAAAACCTATTCGTATCTAGTTTGATTCTGAAAGATTCACAATTCCCTGAATCACAATTCTAAAGGAGCTGCAGATGCAGAAAAGAACTTCGTAACTGGGAGAAGAATGTAGAAAATACAATTTATTTCTCTTAATAAGCTACTACCTCTCTCTGTCACTTCACACATCTGTCCTAAATCCACACCCTTGCAATCCAATAAACACTGACAACTCAAGAACATACCTCCTTCTTGTCTTTGTCTTCATAAGGGCTGCTAGGCTGCTTTGTAGAGGGCTCTGGGCTGCTGGGTTCTTGTGTGTTGATAGTACCTGGTTCACCGGAAGGCGCATCTCCCTCCCCTCGACGCCCTGAAGCAGGGGAAGGACTTCGCCCAGTCAAGGCAGTTGTATGGGTTTTAGCTGCAGCACTTCGAGATCTGAGGGAGTTAAGTGAGGACGGGGAAGAGGAGGGAAATAAGCTCAAAGGGAGAACAGAAAACCCCCTCCCCGGCTCCCATCCACCTTTCCCAATCATTTAACCCTCTTTCAAAAAGCCTTCTTAGTCACATGACTCAAATCATTCAATGAAATACATTCAGTCCACTTTGGTCCTTCTCTTCCCAACACAATCCCAAAGAATGTTCTCCCTCTACCCCTTTACTCACCTCCCCCAAACATCCCCAAACCGTCCACCCAGCCCATTCCCTACCCACTTCATTCACAACTCACCTCTGAGCCCACCTCCTTCAGGAAGCCTTCCCCGATTAAGGAAGCCAGGGTAAGGATTCCTTCCTCCCCCAGACACCACGAACAAACCACCACCCCCCCTATTCTGGCAGTCCATATACATCAGAACGAAACAAAAAATAACAAAAAAGAAACAAAAAAAAAAAAAAAAACTAGGACTTGGAGAAGAGGAGCCAGAATGGCTTCTCTGTCTCGGGGATGTTACGGCCTTCACTTTGGGTTGTGGAGATGATGACCTAGATGGGC